ACCTGGAGCTGGGCGCGAGGCCCGGGGCCAGCCCCTTGTGCCGTGTCACCTGGGAATGTCGCCTCCCCCTTGGAGGCTCCACTTCTGTACAATCCCGTAAACTTACCTCCCACAGCTGCTGGGAGGGCAAAGTTGGCGTTCGTTCCTTCATCACATATTTACCAAGCACTTCCTACCCGAGAGGCACAGGAGATGCGGTGCACACGGCACAGGCACGGACCCTGCCCTCCTGGGGCTGACCACCCCAGGAGAGAGGACAGACACGAAGCCACGACACAGACAACCATTTACAGCTGTGACAGGGGCCAGGGAGGCGCTTAGGTGTTACGAGGGCATCCAACAGGGGGGCCTGGCTTGCCTGGCGTAGGGTTTGGAAAAGTCAGCTAGGGGAAGGTGCCTATTTCAGCGGCTGGGGCAAGATGGGAGAAGAAATTTATTATTCAGCCAGGATTCTATTAATCTGTTATTATTAATACTGCTGAAAAAAATGATCGCATATTATTAGCGAAGCTCAGCAAAGAGAACCAGAGAGGCTTTTTCGTGGGAGGGGAGCACGTTTCATTTCTGCAAGGCGTACCAAAGGGTTAAAGTCATTTTCATTAAAATTCAAATTTCAGCAGGCGCTCACTCTCCCTGCGCCGTCCTTTGAACGTTTGACTGGCAACCATTTCATATTTCAATCTCGGCAGAACAAATCGAATTAGATGTTGAAACCAGACTCGGCTCTGTTCACCAAAGCCTGCATGCTCGGCTTGCGCTAATCCTTTCCTAGATGCTGCAGAGCACAGACAGGCGCTGGGAGGGACGGGCCCTGCCACAAAAGACAAAAGATCCCAAGGAGGCGGTAAAGGGAAAGGAGGAAAAACACGGGGCCAAAGGCCGCTGGAAACTGTCTTCTGCCTGACTCTCGGGTCTTCAAGCCCAGGAGACAAACTCCCGTGTGGATCCAGGGTTTCTGTCCCTGTATTCCTGGCACCCAGCGCAGTGCCAAGTGCAGAGGGATGCCTAGTGTTCGATGGACGAATGAATGAATGATTGGGGGTGAGGATTAGCCGTTGGCTTTGAGGACTTAACTCTGCCACCCTGTCTCTGCCTCTGGCCTGTGCCGTTCCCCCCCTTTCCTTTCTGAGACACCGCAAGATGCCTGGCGCCCTCCCAGGGTCAAGGTGCTTCCGCTGGGACCGGGCTCACTCCAGTCCTGTGATCTTCCACACCAGCCCCTGCAGAGCGTGCAAACCGGCTGGAGGATGCCAGCTCGCGTTTCCCAGGGAGGAAGGGGGCAGACCTCACACCCTGGGATCACCCCATGGCTGAGGATCTGTGGAATGGCCTATAAGCGCTGACACAAGGGCCCGAGCCTGGCTTCCAGTCTACTGTGGCAATGGCATCGGTGCCCACGGGTAACCCCAGGATGGAAAAGGTTAGGAATAAGCACAGCAACACCGGTCGTTTCTGGGGGAGGGGCTCACTTATTTCCCAACTGCACCCCGGCAACCGTGGGCCCATCCTGAGCCTGGCTTTGGCTTCGTATGAGGAGCAACTGGGTAGACCACGTCTCTGCTTGGCCTGCTCGGGGGGCTGCTGGGCAGACGTCACTCCCTCCAGGCTGCCTTCCTGGATACTCGGGCTCCTTTCCACCACGACCCGCCTCAGAATGCTCGTGCTTCCTCAGGTGCGACCTCCGTGCTTTATTTCTGGAATTTCTCTCCTACGTCTTCTGGCGGTTTGGGACCTCTGATGTCCCATCATCATTCGAACTCACCTGAAGCCCCCTCCCTGAAAGCTCCCCCCGTGGCCCACTGCTCTGGTGACAACAGTGACCGTCAATCTCCCCAGGGCCTTGGCTCCAAGGCCCGGAGTGTCCCCAGTTCACCCGGCACACACTGGGTGGAGGCTTTTCTTCTGAAACGCTTTCACGCAGTACCTCTCCCTCAAAGGGGGAAAGACGGGCCCTCCTCTGGGCCAGGCTATAGACCTGGCTTTCTTTTATTATTACCTAGTTATACTTTTTATTCCGGAATACCAATAATAATAATGATGATGATTATGATAATAAAAATGATGAGCGCTTTAGTAGTTCCTATTTAAAGAGTTACTTTCAAAGGGGTGGGGGACAGGGCTCAGGGTTACTGAGACACTTGTTCAGCCTCCAGGCGCCAGGTGCTGCGACTGAAAGGAACAGGGACAGGATCGGCTGAGGACATGGGGGCAGGGGCTGGGCATGGAGAGGAACGGAACGTGGCTACTTTCCATAAGGTGGTCGGGGCTGTCTCTATGAGGAAGGGAGGGAAGCTTAAACGAAGATCTCGGAGTGGCTGGTGGAGGTGGGGGAAGGAAAACAGGAAGAAAGTGGGGGAAGGGTGTCCCAGGCAGAGGAAAGAGCAAGTGCAAAGGCCCTGGGGTGGGACTGTGCTGTAAAGGCCGGAGAGCAGCAAGTGAGGGGCAGGGGCAGGGGAGGCAGGGCGGAAGGGCTTTCAACTACATTCCCCATGATCCAGCTCATGGCTGCATGTGGAGAATGCAGTGCTCCTGGGGCAGCGTGGAGTCTGCTGTGGGCGTTGGTGAGGGCCAGGTGTGGCACGAAGGTGGGGTGACAGGGTACCCCCCTGAGATCTCTAGGGGAGTTGAAGTGACTGCTTCTAGTTGCTTATGGGGGGGCCCTTCCCCCCAGACAGTAAGCCCCCAGGGTTGGGGGTACAGACGCCAGGCTGGGACGGGCAGGCAGGAGGGAAGGGGCCACAGTCTCCCTGCGTGCAGCTGGCCGAGTGGCTGGCGGTTTTCCCGCCTGCTGCGCCCTCAGGCCATCCTCTTCACGACCTGCTCGCTCCTCTGCTGGTCCTGAGCTTTCTCTGGGCTCGGGCCGGGGCTTGCTTGCTTTTTCTTTTGGACCCAGGGAAGACAGTAAAGCATGAAGGTCAAGAAAGACCCGAGGCCCCTGGGGTCAGATTCACCTCCTGCAGGTGCCTGAAGCTCTCTGGGCCTCACAGCACCCCCGGTATATAGAGGCGCCGTTAGCACCATCCCATTTTAAAGATGAGAAGACCGAGGAATCGAAGGTTAGGTCACTGGCCCACGCTCACAAGGCTGGCGAGTGGTGGATGTTACCAGGAACCCAGAATGGTCTGAACGCAGAGCCCGAGCTGGCATGGCAACACCAGGAGGTGGTGAATCCCGATCTGGGGACATTCTAGTACCTTCAGTGAAGCCGGTGCCAATGTCGCCTCCTCCCGTGCCAGGCCCACGGGTCTGCAATCTTCTTTAACCAGAAGAATCCACATGGCCCTTTACGGGACAAGCAGTGGGGAGGGAGGGGGTGGACCCCAGCCCTGTCATCCCTGGGACCCACGGAAACTTGGGAGCCTGGTCACCCGAGGGACCCCACGCAGGCTCTATGGTCTGATGTCGGGGAGACACCTCACTATAAAAGCTGGGAATGAGCCACTCCGGGTCTGCGCCTTTTGCTTCCATTATGTCCCAGGGATAACCTAGGGTGGATTAGGAAGCACCTACCCCCCAGGGAACTGGGGACACGCTCAGCCTTGCAGGACTGTCAGCGCTGTGTGGTCTTGCTTGGATTCCAGGCCACTCCGAAAACTGCTTGACGTGGACTGAAACCGCCTTACACAGACCAAATTTTACACAGCAAGTCAGAAGATCCCGGGGCTCTCACTTGGGCCCCAGCTGCCCCAAATGAAGAAGCAAAAACGCCGACGAGGGCTTTGCTCTGGGCTTGACCTGGACTGACTGACGTAGTCCGAGCACCGTCTCTGAGGTAGGTACAAGATCACCCCCATTTTATAGAAAGAGGAGCTGAGGGTCAGAGGGGACCTCGCCGGTCCAAAGCCACGCAGCTGGGGTTCAGACCCAGGGCAGACGGGTTATAGCTCTTTCCTCTCTACCATCGCCCTCCTGGTGTGTGCTGGGTGTGAATCTCCAGGTGGCAGTAGGTGTGGGCACCCCAGGGCTGGGGACCTGTTTGCATTTCACAGGGTCCCCAGCCTGTGAGTAGAGGGCGTCTGCCGTTAGCGACACAGTCGGGCTCAACCAGTGAGCCAGTGTCTGGGTTTGGAGCTTGGTGCTTCGTGAGTGGCCCCACGGTCAGCGCGGACGGAAGACGCTCTGGTGACTGAACCAGGGCTCATGGTCCCAAGTGGCGAGGAAGGGGCAGGACAGAGGCCACGTCCCAGGCTGTGAGCAGTCCCTTGGAGAGATGGAGGCGGGAACTCCAGCTTAGCAGCCCTGGAGGGGGGAACAAAAACAAGCTTCTGGAGCCCGCCTTACACGCTCAGCACTGTTCCTGGCGTTCTTCACGATTATTACATTTCTTTCTCGCTAAAGCCCTCTGAGGTGGGAACCAGTTAGTGAGGAGGCTGGGCCCAGGGAGGTGAGCTGACTTGGCAGGGGTCCCCAGTCTGTGCTGGGTGGAGCGGGGCTTCATGCCCAAACAGCCCAACTCCAGAGAGCTGCCTTTAGCCTGGTGAGTGTTCCGGGCTCATGGGCAGTGGGGCCCGAGGGTCCTTGCGCCCATGTAGCTGCGCACCCCGGTGCAAACCCTGAAGTCCCTCTGCACCCCGGCCTTCGCGCCGGCACGGTGGGGCCCTGTCTGCATCTCAGGGTTGCTGGGAGGAGGAGCAAGACGGGGAACTCGCGCGGGAACCGCCAATGGCTGGGCTGGACGCAGGGCTCGGTGGTTTCTGCCACTTCCAGATCCTCGTGCTGCCACGAGGGCCTGCCCGGCGCGGTGGCATCCTGCGCCTGTTCTCTGGCCCTGCAGTGCCGGGCACAGAGCAGGCGCAGTCAGTGCCTGGGGCCCGGGATGCCCGGGCAGTGGGCTGAGGCCATTGTCCCCTCCGACCTTGGACCAGTGGAGGGCGGGGCTGCCTGCTGCTGCTGCCCCACCGGGTGGTGCGGCCCGCCCGGGCCCCGTGGTAGGGGGTGCAGGGCCGGAGCGGCTGTGCCCGGTCCCCAGGGCTCTGGAGCCACGTACCCTCGGCGCCAGCTCACGGCTGAAGGGTCTGCTCGTCGCCGCCGTCCTCACTGTCTTCCAGCTGCTCCAGGATCTCGTCCAACACCACAGACCGCTTCTGCGGGGGTTCTGCGGGAGCCCAGATGGCAAGAGAGGAGAGAAGGGCCGAGAGGGTTGGGAGTCAGGAAGAGAGAGGCGACAGAGAGGGAGAGGGGAGGCGAGAGCAAACAGGGGGCGTGGGGGGGAGTTCAGGAAGGGACAGAGGGAAGGGGTGGGAGGTAGCAGAGCAGGTACAGACCCGGCGTGGGGGCGAGATGAGACAGAAGAGATAAGCAAAGACAAGAAGCGGGGGAAGGAGCATCAAAGGATGTATGAGGAAGGGGAAGAGAGCACAGAGCGGGAGACAGAGAAACACGGGGGCTTAGTCTCTGCCTCACCAGGGGGCAGCCTCTCTCCCAGCCCTGTCGGCCACCCCCGCCCACCTTCCACCCACCTTCCACCCACCGAGGAAAGAAGGAAGGCCCTTCCCGGCAGGTCAGAGGTTAGCGAATCTCTGCCTGATGTAGGGGGAGCCAAAAGCTCCAGAGAGGCCAAGTCAAGCGAGGGCAGGGGTTGGGAAACAAGTTCCTGTTCTCCTGGAGTCGCAGACTCTTAATGGTATAGTAGGTGGCTGGCATACAGTAGGTGTTTAGTAAATGCTGGGTGACTAGATGCTCAAGGACTCCAGATGAGGCATGGAGGGAAAAACAACTAGAGATGGCTTTAGAGAAGACGGGCTATTTGACCTGGGCTTTGAAGAATGCAGAGTTCTCTGTGAGGAGACGGGGAAGGGGAGGTGGATGCACAGTGTGAAACGGCATGGTGGGCTTGGCAAAATATATTTCCCCAGGGTGCCAAACACTATTGATTATCTGCTCTGTGCTATGGCTCTTATCTTCTCAACAATCCCATGGGGAGGTATTATTATTACCTCTCACAGGTGAGAGCACTGAAGCAAAGACAGGTTAAGTCTAAGGTCACTCAGCTAGGAAGTGGTGAAACCAGGACCCAAGACACACCAAAGCCCACCGTCTTTCCTCTCTTCATAAAAGTCTCAGGTGCTGCCCAGAGACTGCCAGGGAGACAAAGGGTGGAGGGGGGAGGTGTGCTGGTCCTCTTGGCCCTCCAGGAAGGGAATGGGGTGGGGGTGGGAGGGGGAAGGCTCTGGGCTTAGATCGACTCTGTCAGTCCCTCTGCTGTCTAACCAGTCATTCATGGTCAGCCTCACCCCCAGATAATGCTGGGCTTGTTTTGAGGCAGCTGTTGGATGCTGTCCCAATAGCCTCTCCTTCCCTGGTTCAAACAACACCTCCTCTGTGAAGTCCTCCGGGTGGGACAAATTGCCACCACGATCCTTAGCTGCCATCTCCCCACTGGGTCTGGGGCTCCTGCAGGCAGCGGGTCTCCCCAGAGCCCAGCCCAACGCTCGCCCTCGAGATGCAGCATCTTGGGTCTCTTCCAGGTGGTCTTGGACAAGTGACTTGACCTCTTTGAGGCTATTTCTCCATCTCATTCCTAAGAACCTGACCCGGACACTGACCCTTCTCTTCTCCGCAGCTAACTGCCTGACCCGAGCCCTCGCACCTTCTCAGCGGACTCTGCTTCCGCCCTCACCCTCAGGGCCACCTATTCCCGCCCCCACCCCCC